CAGAGCAACTGTGAGAAGAATAGCTAGATTACAGAACAGAATGATGCAGTAGCTTAGCATTCCAAAAATAAAAGCTGGATAGACTCTATCCTGTGGTATTGCAAAGCTTTCCAGGATCAAACTAGATGTGAAATCCAAAGTGAAGTTATCCATTGTGATGTTTTCAAAATGTCTCCCTAGAAGAAGCAAGAAAAAGAACTTAGAAAATTAAAAATGATCAAAGTAATTTGATAAAACTATTACCTAGCTTTACTGATTCACCAGATTTGTTCATATGCTGTACAGGTAACAGATTTTGACAGGTTTTGAAAGAACCAAACAAAAATGTCATTTCAGAAGACATTCTGAGTCATGTTGTAAAGGGCAAAATATCCTGGAATCTGGTAAAGTATTCCATAAAAGAAATACATTATTTACTTACAGTACTGATACTGCAGAATAATTAATTGAATCAGTACCTATTCTCTTTCTGTTGTACTGAAAATAACATGGACCAGCATTATCTCAATAGGGTTTCTGAAGTAATTTATATTTCCAGAGAAACATACTGTAGTAATACAATTATAATACTAAATAGATTGGTATCCTATTTCAGCTCGCAAAGAGTTTTGTTTTGTTACAGTTTTGTTACTAAAATTCTGACTTACAATGTCATCACAATCTGTGAAAGAGAGGCTCCTTTTCTTTAACATCTCCTGTGATCTAGTAATATTTGCTAAAGACTCCATGATGATTAAAGGTGAGTATCAAAAACATGAAGAAAAAAATCTATGTTTAATAATCATTGCATTTTGAATAAGTGAGCATGAATAGATCTAATAATTGCTCAGCACTTACTTAAAAAAAGGTGTCAGCTCCAGTCTCATCTCACAGATCTCAGTCTAATAAGCAAAAGCATAATAAACTAAGCTCTTATTTCAATGCACATAACTGCAACACATCAGCTCCTTTGAGAGCCCAGGAAAGTATCCTGTGAGTGAGATGTAGTTATATATAAATCATTAAACAGATAGTTGGTTGTTATGTCTTGTGAATACTCCCGAGATTTGTGTCAACAAATGTGAAGAAATCTAAGGTCTTTTATCCAGAAATGTATAAAGATATGAAGATATACACTTTGTCCTTTGAATATACAGTATATATACTGTACTATGCTAAGTGCTTCATCATGAAAGTTTTGCTCTCAGCTTCAAAATTACCAAATAATCATTACCAAGCTTGGAAAAAACGTGTCAATCCTGGAAAATTAAAGAAGTACAGTCAACTGTTTGTGTTTATGAGGCAAGCACATGTACAATAGGGCATTTCAGAAGATTTCTGTGTTTTCAGAGAGATCAAGACAAACATAAACTGTGAAAACTGGAATTTTATCATGGCAAGTGAAGTCCTATATAGGACCTCTTAAAGATTATATTTCTGAACACAGCTTTTTGTTTGCACAAAGAGGAAATGAACATATAGTATACGTGTTTAAAGGGATTATCGTTTTCTGGTACAACATTAGAATTAAAGCCCCAGGAATATGCTGTATGAAGATGAATCTGAGTATATACAGTATCGGATATTCTCAATTAACCCTGAGGACCAGTTGTGAAAAACAGACACTAACTTAACTGGATTCCGTGTTTTGGTTAACTTGGTAAACTTGTTCACTTTTGGAACAGTTGTGGTATAGTTCAGATGTGGACTAACATGGAATAACATGGCTATCATTAGAGTATACTGTATGTCTTCTGCGACAATAAAACCCAGTGTGAATGATGCCAATTTATTCTTAAAGCAAATCCACACATAAATCAGTGTGAAATATATATTAACCCAAATATGATTCTGCATCATACAAAAAATAAGAGTATGAGAAAAACTAAATAGATATAAACTACAATATCAATGTACATTATGTATGAAGTCTAAAATATAGCACAGAAGAATTCCAAAATATGTTTGTTAAATTAAATGCACATTGAATTTATATTTAGATTGGATAATTTTGTGAATATAAAAACTACTGTTTACTTCATGTTTCTGAGAAGTAAAACAGTGTACGAAACTTACTGACATGGTAATTTCCTCTTTCAAAATGTTTTTTTTTTAAATTTCCAAAATAGTCAACCCACCCATAAGATTTTTGCTTTTCTGAGTATTCCTAGCAGTAAGAAGATGTCAATCAATCTAAAATCACATGGAAAACAAAAATACAAATACTATGTTTTTCACCTAAAATGCACTGAGCATCAAAAAAACACATCACTTTATTCATCCAAGTGTTTTTAGAAAATATAAAATGGATGTTGAATATTGATTAAATGATCATTCACAATTGGCCGTAGGTATAAGTAATAAGTTCCTTAACTTGTGAAAAAGTTTATGAGGTGGAGGTGATAAAGTGCTTTATGCCTCTGGTTGTCAAGCCTGGTGAATACCTAAAAGGAATAACACAGATAGGATTGAATATACCCGACTTATCTAGAGAACAATGTCTTTGTGCCATTGGCATTTTTGAGCAACACATTGTCACGCCCTCTGCAGCCAGAGGGCGCTCCTTCTCTGTCCTGTCCCTAGTTTCCGGTCTGCTGTCCTTCCTGTCCCTGTCTTTCCCTTGGGCTATATATTTCCGGGTCTTGCACTCTGTCCTCGCTCAGCATTGACGTTCGGATGTCCTGAGACCCGCCTAGCACCAGGGCGCCCCACGTCCGCTCCCTGAGGGCATAGGTTTCTATACGGCATTCCTGAACTCTTTGCACTAATGAGCCCGGGCCTTTTTTCCGTCTCGCCGCTACGCATATGGGTCTTTTTCTGCTCTCCTACTCCCCACGGTTAGTCCCTTTGGACGTCCGTGACACACGTTAGGTGGGCTAACCAGCACTGAAGCCATCTGAGGTCCTCTTCAGATATGAATCAAGGTTGTGTGTGGAGCACCTGGTGAATGAGATCAAGTGTGCAGACATGCAGAACGTTAATCTAACTGTCATATAGAAAACACCATTGAGGGTCCATACAGTATGTGATGATCTGGATTATAGTGTCTAGTAGCTACAGAACTACACTTGTAGTGATTGCTGGCAACTTGATGGCACAGCACCTTGTTAAGACCTCATTTAACTGCCCTTTTCCAGTGTTATCCCGATGTGACAATATTCCAGCAGGTTATTTTCTTGCTTCATGTGTAACAATGGCTTTCCTACAAGAAGAAAAAGTGTCTAGGACTCAAGGACCAGCAACAACATACATTTCTCTAGGCTGTAAGATAGCATCTGCAATCTGCTACATACTCTGGGATCTGCAGATGTACAACACAGATGTATAACCTACAACAGTGGTCACACACACTATTGGTAATGTATGTGAATCAGACTACTTTCAGGGTAGTCCTTCAGTTAACCACCCCTATGTCAAGTCTATTCAATGAAATGTTTGGGCATCTCCTAGAACAAAGTTCTTGATATTTTTCTGATAATGACATTGTGAATTTCTTACAGGTTTAGGTGGAAGGTTTCTTTTGATGCTCAGTATAATAATAAGAGATATACAGACAAGAAAGAGAATGCAGAGAATTCAGCACCAAATTAATTGTATGATTATTCATCAGATCTAAAGATGAAACCTGGTACAATTTAATTGTAGCTTGGCAAAAGAAAGGAATTGATCATTGAGGACATATTTAGCTACACTCCCCTAGTGACCTAAAGGTTAAAAAAGTAGTAGTTTTAAAAAAGCTTTCTAACAACTAATACCAAAATACATTTTATATTGAAATGGTGTTTACACAAATAATGACTTTACATAAATCAAAGACATGATGAGATACTTTAATATGATATTTTCAATGACATAAATAACAGTTTACTTCCATTCTAAACATATTTAAGAGTGTAATAATTTCATTGTAACTTTTAACATGAATAAAGTTCTAAAGTTCAATAAATATGCATTACCTCTTACTCCCTGTAATTTACTTTGGCACATTTTAAAAATGAATTCCTTAGAATTCAAAGTGTCTGCATGTTTCATACATTCACTCAGGAAATTCTTTGGAAGTGCAGAAAAGCTTGTCAGCAGACTTTTGTCAGCAGGTGTTTAAATGTAAAGGCAATTTAAGAGTTCACAGGAAGATGCCCCATAAAAGAAGAGATTTAAATATTATTAAGAAAGGTTAGTAGTATTGTAAGTTTATTAAAGATACAAAGTACTATTATTTAATCTTACCATGGCACTACTGTTTAATCAAACATTTCTAAAAAGCCAAAACAGTTTATATTTACCATCTCAATGTGTTTTGAGATGCAAAGTTATATGAAACAGAAAAACGAATAATTAAAAATCAGAATACTTGAAATAATAAGTGAATCCCTAGTTTACTTAGCACAATTAAAGGGATAAATAGAATCAGGTAATTAAATAATTGTGTATCAAGTAATCAAGCACTGAGTTTTGGCAGTCCAGTCTTATATACAGTACGTAAAATGACCTGAATGCACGGAATCCCTCATACATCATCAACATGAAGCTAAAAAAAGGGCAAAAATAAATAAAAGCCCATGGAAGACACTGATAAACAATTACTGGAAATGTTAAGCTGAACTAATCGCTGCTCAAGAAAGTGACATATATTACTGAATCTAAGGGTTCACATAATTATTAACACAAGGATATTCACTGCTGATTCATTTTGTTGATTAAATAATCCAAACCTATTTTAGGTTCTTACATTACAGTATATGTTACTGTATATATAATGTTCTTTGTAATAATCATCATAATAGGTGAGTTAATGGAAAACAATTGCATATGATGAATAACTTCTTAACAGCAGTTTTGTGCAATTGTTGCCTGTTCTTTTTTCAGTTTGTTTAATCTTTTTTTGCCTTTAAAGTTATCTTTTCTTAAAACTTCAAAATCTTATTGCATTTTAGGGCTAAAATACAGTATATGAAGATGCAGAGTGGCCTAGACAGTTCACAGACTTTTTCTCTGTACCTCATTCCACCCAATACTGTGTTCTAGAAGGGCACAATCTTGTGATCGAAATACGATATTATCTTACTCCTGATTTCCTTTGTCTTAAGTCCATATATAATCGGGTTCATTATTGGTGGAAATATTAATGTAGAGGCCCCAAACATTTTTCTTAAAAATGGTGAAGCCCTCTCAAAACGATATGAAAGTATCGTAAAAAGACCTGAAACTTCTAACATGAGAAAGACAACCAAGTGAGTAGCGCAAGTCTGAATAGCTTTGCTCTTTGCATCAGAATGCTTGTTCTTTAGACAAGTCAAAAGTATCTGAAGGTAAGTATAGGTGATTGTTCCAACAGACACCAATTGCATCAAAGCTGTCATAAACAGCCCATAAATATTATTGATGGTAATGTCTGCACAAACCAATCTTAGCAGAGATGGGTTGTCACAATAAGTGCCTGATATCATGGACTGGCATCGAGGCAGCCTCAGAAGAAGAGAAAAAAGCACCACCATCAATATCAAATCTGTAATCCAAATCAGTGTAATAATTTTCTTTACATATGTATTTGTCATAATTGCATTGTACCTTAAAGGGCAACATATTGCTACATACCTATCATAAGCCATTGCTGTCAGAATAAGTGAAGAGCCACCTCCATAAATGTGTATGAAGAAGGCCTGGGTGACACAGGCTGGGTAACTTATTGTTCTGGTATCAAGTAAAATTTCTTTCATTAACTGAGGAAGGAAGGCAGTTGCCCCAATGAGATCATTGATGGGTAGATTAATGAGTAGCAAATACATGGGTTCATGAAGATGTTTCTCCAGAGCAACTGTGAGAAGAATAGCTAGATTACAGATGAGAATGATGCAGTAGCTTAGCATTCCAAAAATAAAAGCTGGATAGACTCCTTCAGGAGGTATTGCAAAGCTCTCCAAGACCAAGCTGAAAGTGACATTCAAAGTGAGGTTATCCATCCTGGTATTTTCAAAAGGACTCCCTAGAAGAAACTACAAGAGAAAAATAGAAAATAATAATGAATATTTTTTTATAAAATTTGATAAACTTAATACATCACTTTATTGATTCACCTTTTTATTAATAAAAATAATTTGTGACAGAAAGAAATATACAAAAATGATTTTGTTTCAGAAGACTTTCTGAGCTATGTCATACGCAGTGAAATATACTGAAATATGGTACATTTTAACTATCAGAGAAATTAATATATTATTAACGTATTGAGAATTTTTTTGAAAAAGAAGAAAAGAAATGGAAAACTCTTAGAATTTCTGTAGAAAAGAAAATCAAATTGAATCAGTGCCTAGTATATCTGTTATATTTTTGTTATTCTGAATATTGTATGGAATAACATTGTCTAACTAAATATTGATTCTGAGGTGTTTTAAACTTCCGGAGAAACTGAATGAATTTATCAGACTAAATTAATTTGTGTTCTAGAGTTGGCAATAATTAATGCAGGTTATGAAACATTACTAATGCGTTTTTATTAATAGAATTTTTGACTCGCACACTATCACAACATCTCTGAAAGGAAAGTTCTGTTAACAAGTAAAATAGGAAACACCAAACAACTTCAATTTAATACAGGTTGTGAACTAGTGAAGCAATGTTCACGTGACATACTAAATAAACCGATTTTTTTCTCAGTTTTTTTTTTCATGAAAGTTGTATAGACTTTGAAGTAGAACATCTACACTACTAGAACCACTCAATTGGTCTCCTCTGATCTAAAATATTTGATAAAGACTGCATAATGGTTAAGGCTGTGTACCATAGAACATGAAGAAAAATCTATGTTTATTAATCGTAGCATGCATGTACAGTATAGATCTACAGGTATGGATAATTCGGCACTTACTCAAGTAAGGTGTCAGTTCCAGCCTCATCTCACAGATCTAATGAGCATGTCTAACCTCTACAGTATTTCAGTGTGCATAACTGCAAACGTCAGCTCCTTGGAGAACCCAGGAAAATAATCTGCTAGTGAGATGTAGTTACAGTATGTATAAAACATGAAGCAGATCTTCTGTTGTTATGCCTTGTGAACACTCCTGAGACAATTGTGTTAATGTTATGAGGTTGTGAAGAATGTTATGAGGGCTTTTGTCCAGGATTTAATAAAGATATGTTTTGTCCTTTAAAAAATATAATGCTTCATGCTGGAAGTTTTGCTTTCAACTTCCGTATAAATAATCAGAAAGAATTAAAGACTTCATTTTATAGGACTCTGAGAACAAAATGAAGAAATATTTGTAATAGCATTTTAGACTCATTTTTTGATTCTACAGTATATATTGAAAGTCCAGACACATGACAAAGTTTGGAAAAGACTTTGTTAATCCTGTGAAGCACAGATACGGTCAACTGGCTTTGTTTATGAAGCACTTGTGTACTGTGTTTTGACAGATCAAGACATAGACTGTGAAAGTGGGAGTTTTGTAGCAGGTGAAGTCCTATATATAGTCAGATGTCAAAAGATTACATTTATTGGCACAGCCTTTTGTTTGCACAAAGAGGAAATTAATGCACTCCCATTTTATGGCATTGGTGTTTTCATTTAAAATAGCATTAATTTATCATTGATTATTAGCTAAAATAGCATTGACTTACTAAGAATCTGTATATATACTGTATATGCTGAAGAAGTTCAGGTGGGTAGCTGCATCAGCATGCGCAGGCTGCAAAGGAACAAGTAATGAGTGTATCCCATGCTGAAAAGAGAAGAAGGAAAACACAACGTTTCTGCTGTGGAGCCTTCTTCGGGTATGAGTAAGACAGGGCAGACAGCAAAGATCAAATAGTGTAGACACTAACCATACTGTAACCTCCAACTTTTTAACAATTTCCAGTTTTAGGGTCCTGAATGCTACATTTTTACAATGGATATTACATCTCTCTACACAGTCATTCCCCATAATGATGGTCTTACAGCCCTCAAGCACACACTGGTCAAATGCACAGTGCTCATATTCACCCACACCCTTCTACATCTTGCAGAATTGGTACTTACACTCAATGCCTTCTCATTCAATAAGCTTTTTTTACCAGCAGGTTAGTGGAATTTCCATGGGCACCAGAATGGGACACAGCTATATTTTTGTTGGTTGGGTAGAAAGACGCTTCTTCACTTCTTACACTGGCTTTGT